TTCCCTCTGAAAACTCACCCTACGAACCCACTGGGGCACCATGCTCCTCTGAAAAACCAGCCTGAGAACCCCTGCAGCACAATTCTCTGAAAACCCAGCACAAGAAACTCCTGGGACACCATCATATCTGAAAATTCATTCTCAACATCGTCCTGGAGCACAGTTCTGTAAAGTCAGCCCTGAAAACCTCATAGAGCACCTTCCTTCTCTAAAAACTCAGCCCAAGGCCTCCTGGAGCACCATCCTCCTGAAACCAAGCCCGAGAATGTCCTGGAGTACCATCTTTCTTTCAAAATCCAGCCTAAGCACCTCTTGAGCACCGTTGTAATCTGAAAACCAAAACTCAAGAATCCTGAGAGCACCATCGTCTCTGAAAACCCAGGTTCATGAACCTCTTGGAGCATTGTCCTGAAAATCAAGACGTGAGAACCTCCAGAAGCACCATCCTCTGAAAACCCAGACCCAACAACATCCTGGAGCACTATTATTCTCTGAAAACTCAGCCCCAAAGTGCCCAGTGGAGCACTGTCTTCCAGAAAACCCAAACAAGAGTGTCCTGGAGCTCTGTCCTCTGAAAACACAGCCAGGGAACCTCCTGGAACAGCATCCGACTCTGAAAACCCAGCCTGAGAGCCTCCTGGAGCACCATTTGAAAATACAGCTCCAAGAACCTCCTGAAACACCATCCTTCTTTAAAAATGCTGTTCCAAGGACCAACTAGAGCACTATCTTGAAACCCCAGGCAAGAATATCCTGGAGCACCATTTTTCTCTGAAAACACAGGCCCAAGAACTTCCTCAAGCACCATTCATCTCTGAAAATCCAGCCCATGACCCCCTTGCGTACCATACTTCCGTGAAAACTCAGCCTGCAGAACCCCCTGGAGTACCATCCTTCTCAGAAAACTCAATGCAAGAGCCTCCTCAAGCATCGTCCTATGAAAATGCAGTCTTGAAAACACCCTGAAGTGCCCCTGTCACCTGAGAACCTCCTAGAGTTCCATACTTTTCTGAAAATTCAACGCAAGAACTTTCTGGACCTGGATCCTCTGAAAACTCAGACTGAGAATCCCCGGGAGCCCTCGAAAACTCTGAGAACCTTCTGGAACACCATCCTTCTCTGAACAACCAGCACTGTCTTCCTGTGAAAACTCAGCCTTGAGAACACGGGAGCATCATCCTTCTGTGAAACCTCAGTCTGAGGACCCCCTAGAGCACCGTGCTTTTCTGAAATCGTAACACAAGAACCTCCTGGAGCATTGTCCTATGAAAACTCAACTCACAACCTCCTGGAGAGGTCCTTCTATGGACACTGAAGAACCTCCTTGAGTATCACCTTCTGAACTCAGCCCTGAGAACCTCTTGGAGCACCCCCTTAAAACCCAACCTGAGAGCATTGCTCTTTGAAAACCCAACCTGACCATTCTCTGGATCACTGTGTTCTGAAAACTCACCCTTGAGAACCCCTTGGCCACTGTCCTCTGAAAATGCACTCTGAAAACTTCCTGAGGCATTTTCCTCTGAAAATGTAGCCTTGAGAATCTCCTGAAGCACCCCCTGAAATCTCAGCCTGTGAACTCCCTGGAGCACTGTCCTCCTCTGAAAGCTCAACCCAAGACTCTCCTGAAGCATCATCCTCTCTAAACTGAGCCCCAAGAACTTTCTGGAGCATTGTCCTTTGAAAA